GTAATCCTTTTGCTAAATATGAAGTTGCTCTAATATTTATGCATTTGCTCTCATTATCTTTCACTTCAAATAGCATACTTGAAAGAATTATTCAGACCCAATTTATAATAAATGTCAAAGTAAAAATAATATGCACACAAACTATACATCACCATTATTAGTTTCTGAAACTTATTTGAAGAAAATACAAATAAAAAACCTAACCTCAGAGCTAGCCAAAACATGTGTTTTTGGTGTTCACTTGCACATAGCATAGAGATAATCTCATCGTCTATCATATTTTACAGGAGAAAAAACACCAAAAGGATTCCTGTATAAATTAGCTTCCTATGCACACAATGATATTATATGCAAAACTATAGTACTAACTGTATACTACAGTCAAATATATATACTTGACCAACAGTAGAACTCAGCTACAGTTTATACTTTCTTTCTTACCATTTATTTAAAAGCCAAAAAGGACAAAAAACAAAAATTTCACCTAAGTTCTTATATTTTCTGTAAAACTGAAGTACTTGTTTACTGTGGGGTTTGCCTTTAAATGAAATCAGGACACACAGTGTTGTAGTTTAATACTGAATGCCACTTTTTTTCAGATACTGGAATTCCAGATATTGAAATAGAAAACAATGGAATACCTCATGATAATACTGCTATAAAAGGTACAGTAAAAACAAAACAACAACAATATATGTAGATAGATAGATAGATAGATAGATAGATAGATAGATAGATAGATAAATAGATAGATCCCTAAAATTACAAATTTGTTTTGGTCTCATGGGCTTGGGAGTTGGGATCAGCTTCAAGGTAAATACTTTTCATATAAGTAAAATAAATTTCAGCTCTTCTTTTAAGACAGAATAAGCCACTTTTAGTATATTTATATTTGTATTTATATATATTTATATCTATATCAATATATGTTTTATAGCTAAACATATACTTAACAAACATGTATATTTTAAAAATTAGTATGTTTTTGAAAGCAGATCGCAGAATAGATATTTAGGGATTAATAATTCTACGTATACAATGTGAGCAAATCTCTTCAATGTTTTTATGTCAAAAAGAACAGACATTTATAACTTAGACATATACTAAAATATATAAAATTGTGAATATAATTTATCTTTTTGAAGTATACAATACCATGTTCTTTTAACCCCACTTATTTACTGTTTATAAAAGTCACAGTTACAAAAAGTTTAAGGTATCAGCATTTTAAGAGTGACTAGATATTTTTATCAACCTTTGCATTTCAATGGTAATTTTAGAAAACATGCACATACGGAACCAAGAATAAGACTTATGTAATCCATGATTTACAATGCCTAAATTATTTAAGAGACACACCTTAAAATATGTAATAGTAGGGAATTTTATTAAACAAATCAACATAGTTTCAGTGCAAAAGCACCTAAAATAAAACTGAATTCTCCAATGAACATTTTTCCATTGTGATTCTAATGGAATCTAGCCCTTGTTTTACAAATTACATTTACTTTCACAATTACTTTTAAAAGATGGATAACTCTAATAAAAGAAAAAGACAGTTCCATGAGAAAAGTATAATTTAACTTGCAAGAATGAAGATAATAGTAAATAAGCTGCTTGCTACTGCAGTATGACAACTGGATATAAACAAATGCAACAGAACTGGCTACAGCAAGAAGTTTTATTTGAGTTCATTTGAGGGTTACAGTTTTATGTGGAAGCTTCAGGAAATTTAAAAACCCTCATTCATGTAGGTTTGCAAGTTATCTTTATAAAACCAGGAGTTTCAAAATGGATGGATTTTCTAGTAAAGGTAGGTAATATTTCAGTTGAGTTGACCTAACTAATGCATGCTCAGCTTACTCAATGAAGCTTTAGCTTTTTTTAAAACCCCACTTTTGCTTGTCTACTTTCATCTCTCAATTTAAAAACTATGTAAATATGCATATCACTCAGTGTTTATCCAATCAATTATAATTAAGCTTATTAAGGGAGCATGGTATCTCCACAAGATAAGCAATGGACTGAAAACCATAAAGTCGGTAGTTTAAGACCACAATGTGTTCCTTTGTAGAACGATGAGGATTTCTACTCCCACAAAGATTTTTAAAAGTCTCAAAAACACCATACAGGGTAGATATGAGTTTGAACCAACCCAATGGCACTAAAGAACAACAACAAATTTATTAAATAAGTCCCACTATTTTTGCACCTGATATTTGAAGTGGCTACCACATAACAACGTCATGGTAATTATGGATAGTATGAAGCATTCTATCTCCCTTAATTAGTGACACACAAATATACACCCAACTTTGGAACTGAAGATGTTACTAAAACACATTGTAAGTGGGAAATTCACATAATTAATTTAATTTAGGGTTCATCTTGTTGTTAAGTGCCATGAGTTTGTCCAGACTCTAAGTGACCCTATATTGGATTTCCAAGAAGCATCTGGTGAGTTTTAACTGCCGACTTTGCAGTTCAAACTGACCTTGTAATAAAATCTATTTAAGGATAATAATATTCTTTTCAATTCTGTTATATACAAATTTTGAACTGTCCAAAGGACATTTACTTTTTTTGCTACACAACAGATACAGCATATCTTATTCATGGTAGGTCAATTATTTTATATAGTTGTATATTCTATTTGGCTCCAAGTTTTTTACTTTAATAAACTGTTACAAAAAAATGGTTTTTCATATTAACCTGTGGTTGTGTCAAGAAAGGAGCATTTTAACATGTATTTATTAAACATACTTATAATAAATTCTACTGGTGTAATGTAATTTAAAGGAAGAAAATTGACCTCTATTATTTTTTCCAATTATTAATAAAATTGTTTAGTACTTATGGTCATTATTTTCCATATACATTAAAATACAGGGAGAACAGTGACTCTTTAAAATAAACACTGGACTATAAATAAACAAGGTCAGCAGTTTGAGTCATTGAAGGAGAAAGATGAGACTTTTATATGCAAAGATTTAAAAAGCCTCAAAAACCCTGTACAAAGTTGGTATGAGTTAGAACCGACTCCAGTTATACTCCAGCATACTAAAATTCAGTAGAGGAGTTGGGGCTTAATGGCGGATTAGGGAGAAGTGTGGTGCAGACCTCTGCCAGTAATAACACTGAATACCAGATGAAGCAGGTTCAGGGCATGGTCCCAGAACTCTGAACTACATATAATGGAATATTTAGAAAGTTTGAAAGCTTACAGCCAGTGAAATTTGTAGCAGAAGCTAGAAAGATGATGTTTTCTGATCTTTGGCTGCCAGTGGGTTTTAGAGTGGCCATCTTGGGCAATATAGGGTGGATGAAGGGTCAGAGGAGCACTCCCACCACAGAGGTCTGACCAATCCTTGGAGATAAAAGTCATGGACATTCTTCTTCTTCTTCTTCTTTTTTTTTTTCCTCTCTGTTCATTGGTCTCTCACTGTCTGCACACCTCCACTCTCCACTCTGGTGACTAGAGGGAGTGCCTGAGTGAATGGACACACCCCCACTGCCACAGAGTTTGACTACGGATGCACAGAGTTCTATTCAGCAAAGACCACTGCACACAGAATCTAAAAAGGGGGAAGACACAGCTTAAAACTGAATGGTTTCCCAAAATGGTTACAGCCAGCTCTGAACTGTTTATCACTAAGAAAAAGACCTGAAAGGGGGTTGCAGAGTTGGAAAGATTGGAAAGAGACAGACTAAAAAGGAAACAGGTTGAAAATTAAATCCTGAGATACATCATAAAGAGCAACAGTAACATCTTAAAAATTTCTCAGGCAGCCTTGAAAGCAAGAAGCTGAGAAAGGGGCGTTAAAGTCATGCTCATATTTTGCTACCAATTTTTTTTTTTTTTTCTTTTCTGTGATTAGAGATTGTAGTATCCAATCTGTTTTTTTTTTTTTTTTTTTTTGGCTGCTGCTGCTATTTTGTTTTTTTGGTGGGTGGTCCTCCTTATATCTTAAGGGGGATCATTCTCTTCCTATATTGCCGAAGAAGAGACAGCAATCGCAGACATATAGCCAAGCAACATTTACACCATATAAAATCCCATCACCCAAGCAAGAGCCAATACCAACTGCTATACACCAGATAGACAGCCAACCCCTACTACAGTTACTCTTGCGTTGAGTAATAAAAAAAAACTGAAATGGGAAGCCCATCTACTGATCACATCTACCTGGAGGCAATCAGAAAGCTTAAAAATACATCAACATACATTCATCTAACTATTGAAAATCCATCTAAATATTGAAGATTCCCAAGAAACAACTGATGATATTGGCACATGTCCAGAAACAAGATAGAGAAAAATGAGCAGAAGGTAGACCTAGACTTCACATTGGAAGGAGGGCAGGTGTTGAAGCTGGGTGGGAAGGAATTCAGGAGAATGATACAGAGGTGCACACAAATGCTTCACAGAGGGTTAGAGAAAAATAAGGAAGAAGTCAGGAAAGCACTACAGGAATAATCAAATAAGACAGATACAGCATTTGAAACAATTTAAAACCTGCAAAAAGAGGTCTAAATGATAAATAACAAAATATAAGAAAAGGAAAATAGGAGGCAAAAGTTAATACAATATAAGGTAACTTCAAAGAAAATTAATATTTTTATACCAAAAAAAATGAAAATCCAAGAACGTGGAAATATTACAAATATGAAGAAACTGACAAGAAAACACACACACACACAAAAAAACATGAAATCAGCACAGGAAGGTATGCAGAACAAAAAAACAGCAGCACAAAACAAAAACAAAAACGCAGCCACAGCAATTAATTCATACCTACTGATAATAACGAAGACCGTTGAGGTATTGATACTTTTGAGTTATGGTGTTGGAGGAAAATATTGAAAGTTTCATGGGTTGCCAAAAGAATTAACAGATCTGTGTTGGAAGACGTTCAGTCAGAGTGCTCCGAGGCCAGGTGGCCAAATTTCAACTCTCATGCATCGGACATATTGTCAGGAGGGACCAGTCGCTGGAGAAGGATATCATGTTTGGTAAGATTGAGGGTCAGAGAAAAAGAGGAAGACCCCCAGCTAGACAGATTGGCCAAGTGGCAGCGTCAATGGGCTCAAGTGTGGCAACAATAGTGAGGTTGGCCCAGGATTGGTCAGTGTTTCGTTCTGTTGTGCATAAGGTCACTATGAGTCAGTACCAACTCTATGGCACCTAACAACAACAACATCGACAATCACACTGAATGTCAACGAATTAAATGCACCAATTAGGAGATGGAGATTGATACAATGGATGAGAAAACAAGAGCCTTCAATATGCTCTCTGCAACAGATACATTTTACACACAAAGACAAAAACAGACTAAAAGTTAAAGGATGGAAAAAATATATCAAGCTAAAATTCAGTAGATTAAGAATTCTTTATTGAATTAGATATGAGATTACATTTGATAATGTCCTTCATAAATGTTTAAGAAATGGAAAAGTACACATTTTCTACACTGTGAGCACAACAATGAAATCCTATAAATGAGAAAGTTCCCCTGATGACTCTATGGAATATGTGAGTAAATCATTACACTTACATGACAGTAGAATCACAATGTAATGCTAAGAGAAACTATTATTTTTTGAACAATAAGTATTTTTCTATTAGCTGGGGGACATACGTGTTTGAAAATATTAATAGAAC